ACTGATATTTTATGCTTCAGTTGTTGATGTCAGCATTCTGACAGCACCGATGGAAGCATCCTGATGGCTAAGTAAAGCTGGAACAATTGTGTCTTACGAAGAAAGAAGGGTCATACCATACGCAGTCTTGTAGTCAGCCGCAAATGTTCTATACGGCTAACTACAAGACATCACGCTTCACGCATTGTTAAAATCACATTTTATGTTGAATTTATCATATATGTTATTATGTTATATGATATGTTTTGTTATTGTGATACAACAAATAGGATAATGGCATTTGACCCTATTTTATCTAATTATAATAATACCCTTTTTTCCAGGTTGATTGACGCGTTCACTGGCGCATTGAAAACAACATTCGAAGGGCACAGAAATGACCAGGTAATGATAACCTTTACAAAATTCACTTTTTATAGTCACTCATGAAATGATTTAGCAAGAGGCTTTGGAAGCCTCATTTTCTCCAGATTCGCAATTCGTATTTTGTGGGTCTTCTGATCGTTGTATCCACGCGTGGTGTACTGAAACTGGTAAGATAGTTTCATACTTGGAATATTGCATGTAATTGAAGATAAGCTACAGGTAAAAGAGTAGCTACATTTGAAACTGAACATGATGCTCACCTTCGAATAGTTTCTTGGAATCCGAAGCACTTCATGGTGGCGTCGGCTTGCACTAAATTGGTATTTTTGCTTCTTTTAATCTCAAACCAAGTTTATTTTTTTCATTCTGCGTATAGACAGCTGATAGTCATTTCTTTCAATGAATAATGTTTATAGTGCTTCTGGATTCCTGGTGATGACGTGGTTGAAAATTGAGATCATGTATACAACGTACTACATTACTGGTATATCCCTTAATTTGTAAGAATCTGATGGATTTGTCGCACTGTCGCTATGAAGATACTCATTGATAAGGTTGGAACGTGGAACAAGGTTCTGTTGAGTAGTTGTAAATTTCTTTATTTCCAATAAATGCATATTGTTCTTATTTCTGTTGTGTTTTCCTAAAATCTTGTCTCTAGAAATCTGCTAGTTAACGTCTTAGGCTC